CTATGCCGTGCCCATGCTCATTGATATGGGGGTGGCTATTGTCTACCTTTCCATCACCTTCGGGCCCTACGAAGGACTTATTACCGTGGCTACCGGTGTATTTTTCCTTCTTATTGCTAGCAGACTTGTTGCTAACTCCAAAGCTGCAAGTCGAAACCGTGTCAATGCACTATATGAAGAACACTACGTGCGCCAGTCTGGCTTCCTTGGGTGGCAGACAGTCAGTGCCTTCAATCAGATCGGTTACGAAGACAATCGACACGCCAATGCAGTCACAAATCGTTGGCTTAGAGAGCAGCAGTATGTGCTTGGGTGGTATATCTCAATCGGATTTCAAACCCTGGTCCTGACATCTGGTCTTCTCGCAAGCGCATTTCTGGCAGTTTACCGTATCAGAGAAGGCCACGCAACACCTGGACAATTTGCAATGCTTTTGATGTATTGGGCGCAATTGACATCGCCGCTTCAGTTCTTTGCGAAGTTAGGAAAGAACGTAAGTGATGATTTCATCGATGCCGAGCGCCTGCTGGACATCATGAGAACTCAGCCATCGGTTGAAAATCAGAAGGGAGCTAGACCATTGAAGTTCGTAGCTGGGGAGGTCGAGTTTGAGCGGGTTTCTTTTAGTTACGACAAGAAGAAGGGCATCATCAAGGATGTCAGCTTCCATGTTCCTGCTGGCCAGACAGTCGCTTTCGTGGGCGCCACTGGAGCTGGAAAATCTACCCTCATCAAGCTCCTTGATCGATTTTACGATGTGGGCGATGGTCGTATTTGCATTGATGGCCAAGACATACGAGATGTTGATCTGTTCAGGTAAGACCTTTTCACAACTAATGGTCACTTAAACACTTTCACACTTGGCACTAACACAACTAACTAGTCTTCGCGATCGAATTGGAGTCGTTCCTCAGAATCCAATTCTGTTTGACGACACGATTATGAACAATGTACGATATGGAAGGATAACCGCGACCGACGAGGAAGTGTTTGAAGCATGTCAAGCCGCTTGCATCCATGATAAGATCAAAGGCTTCACTCATGGTATGGTCACAGCTCTGATATACCTATCAAACAACCGCTAACCTCAACAGGATACAAGACACGGGTTGGAGAGCGCGGCGTGTAAGTGAACCTTGGACATTACTGTAGAAGTTTACGCTGACTTAAGTAGAAAACTGTCTGGCGGTGAGCTTCAGCGCATTGCAATTGCTCGAGCAATGTTGAAGAAGCCGGACATTGTTCTTCTTGATGAAGCCACCAGTGCGGTCGACACGGATACAGAGCAACAGATTCAGATATCTTTCAAGAGGCTGTGTCAGGGCCGAACCACGTTCATCGTCGCGTAAGTTTATCCCATGTCCGCGTCTTTCAGATTATGCTAATACACAAAGCCACCGTCTTTCAACGATTATGAACGCAGACCGGATTATTGTAGTCGAAAATGGCGAGATACTTGAGCAGGGGAACCACGACGAATTGATCGTGGCCGGTGGGAGATACGCCGATCTTTGGTCAAAGCAGGTCTTTGTGCGAACAAAGGAGGAAGACGCTGATGCGTCGGCTGGCCAAGCAGGATTTGTTAACGACCTATCCTCAGAGCAGACCAGAACCGAACTATCAAAAGTCAACAAACCGACAACAGCAACCAACGAGCAGCCGAAGTCATCTGAAGCCAGAGCCAGCGAAGAAGATGCTCCCGTCACCCAAGTTCGCAAGCAAGAGGTAGTTTCTGCCGAAGATAAATAGTCTTTGGTGATTCTAACCTTTGCTTGCAGGGAACCCGGTTGAATCCTGTTGCCGCTACATTCACCCCTCGCAGGTTGGCCAAGATGAGGAAATCCATGGAGACCGGGACCTCCGAAGCATCGAACAGCTCTACCACTCAAGACGGACTGATAAATGTAAGCTCGCAAACGAGCCGACAGTGGTCTGACGAGGTTGCCGACCAAGATGAGAAGACCTCGAAGACGACAGCCGTGACGGGCCGACCATAGGAGGGTCGACCCATTACGAGTAGCGGCGACACTACAGCACCAGCCACGGACTCCAGAGAGAAAAAGAAAGCATTCATGGCAGCCGTTGACCGTGCTCTGAAAATCAAACAAGCGAAAAAACTTGACGATGCAAAAGTATTGGAGCGTAAGCACAAAGTACCAAATTTCTGTACTCCACTGACTCTCCTAGCTTTAGTCAAAGGTGGAGATGAAGCTGAAGGGGCGACGAAGGAACGAGACGCGGCAGAGACTCAAATTTTTGAATACAAGCTGCCGTACTATTCCCGTCGTGCTCAGTCGAAGAGCGAACCATCTCAGGCATCTCAGGGCTCTGATGGAGCCGACGTTGACAATGAGCTCCTCCTCTCATCGACAGGGAAGCAGATGTCTCCAGTAAGTATTGAGTAATATATTATGGTCATTGTCACTAATATAGGAAGCATCGTCGAGTTACATTGCCTCCTATGAAGGCGAGTGCAGGATCCCAAATTCCTGTTGCCACCGAGCACAACCAAGCGGTTTCTTCAGTTTCCAGGGCGGCGAAGGTCCGAGATAGCACCATCGATCGATCTTTCGACAAACAAAGGGCTCAACAAAAAGCGGAGCTTACCATGCCAGGTCGAAGCGCGACATGTCCATCATCAAATAATAAAGATCCACAAGGCGAAGATGGGGTGACTGCAGGAACAAACACCACGGACGGCCCCAAGCACGGCAACATCGAAATCTCGGAACCCAGACAAAACGTCATCAGCTCTACCCCACGTCGTGGTGGCCGCGGTGGTCGACGAGGACGATCCCCTTGGTACCGTGGCCGACGTGGCAGAGGAGGTTATCGAGGAAGCCCACAGGGCAGACAAGCGGCATGAAGCGTGCTGCCACATACGTAATGCCGCGCTATAGAAATAATTCATGACACGATACATCCATGGCAGAGATATGAATGAGAACAATGAGCCAGAAGAGGAGGCTCTAGCATGTATCAACATTACGAGTCTATGACTACCCACCAAGTAACAACAATGCTTTTAGAGAGTGGTTATCAGTTAGTTAAGTGTTACCTCCAAATAGACATAGATAAGGCGTTTATGCCATCAATTACATATCTCAGACTTACTCTGCGTTAGCCAGACAAAGTGGTGACGAGTATTCAATGACTGTATATGCATAGGTTAATGTGGATGAATGGCGGTCTCATTCCTCAGGCTCAAGCCATAGTTCCTTTGGTAGGTGGCCGAGAAATCGTATCAACTCAGCTACCACATTTTGAACTCTTCCAAATATATACCTGGCGTCGCCCCGTAAACTCATCCCATCACATATCTTCTGAACTGCGTGATGAAATCAGTATTGGTGGTCTTGAGTAAACAATACCACTCACAAGGTTCCAGATCCTCGAGCAGGTGCCCAAGCTGTGACAGAATTGTCGATCTGGTATAATCCTGGTTGCGAAACTTGTAGTCCAAGGATATGGTAAATATTGGATGACGATTAGCTCCATAACTAATACCCCATCTATGAAGGTCCTGACGTGCTTTTGAGATATCTTCTCGCGACGGCAAGGACTGCTTGACTTTGGCGGGTTGATGTCTCAAGCCACTTTCAACTGAATCAAAACGGGTGATACATTCGGAGAAGAGGGTATAGATATCGGGGGAATTCGTGTCCAGGGTCATTGCCACGGTAATTAATGATGCGCTGTGAGATTGATCAAGTCGTGCAAAAGAAGGAGAATATACTTTACCCCCTGAGATTTGGTCCTTTTTAAAGGCACCAAGTGAACGTGAAGCGACATTGCTGGTTTCGATGTTGTTCTTGATCAGTGTATAGTAAAGCAGGGCGAGAAAAGCTTTATCATGGTGTTACCATTTGTGTGACCCCGTCACTGAGGTTTGTGGTGATTATGGAGACTCGGTATAAGTTAATGGCCTACGGTCGTTGCCCTCATTAAAGCGAGGAGCCGACAGAAAGCCAATGAATTGGGTAATAACTATTTGGGACCGAATACAGTTGGCCTGGCTGAGTGGTGTTTCACTCTTACTTTCATCTCAAGACAGGGCATTGTTACCAAGAGGATAAAGAAGAGCAGCCACAGTTGAAGAGGGGCAAAGTTTGGGGAATACTGTTCCTGGTATTGATAGGTACTCGGTCGGTATTATGAGAATTCCGAGGCTCTTTAGGTTGTCAGAATACATCGGTGTCTTGATTAAGCTGCTGTGCTGATGACGGTGTGTATCACAAAGTCACCTCAGAATCGCAATTAGCTAGCTTACCGAGGGGAAGCAAGACATGGGGGCATTTCTAGAAGAGACTTGAAGTTGGCTGACTATGACTCAGATATGAACAGCTTATATGAACAAAACAGTTGATAGTATGATGATGATGATGATGATGATGATGATGATGATGAGTGTTCGTGTGGGTATGGGGGCTTGTAGACTCATCATAGAAACGTTGGAGAGCAACTCACACCGAAGCCGCACCGCAACGCAACGCAATGAACGAATGAATTGCCCTATCCTACCTATCAGCAGCAACCTCATGCAAAAGTTGCCAGATGGTTTCCCCCAGAAGACAAGACTCGGCGACTCAACAGGGTTCCGGTCCCGCAGCGCCACTGACCATGTTCTCACCGACAATGAGAGCAACGATTCGCTTAAGCCATAAATCGCATGTCATATGAGATCTTATCAAGTGGCTCCCCTCCCGTTCCCTCCATCGGTAGCCAGTTCCGATCCGGTCGAGGAGGTCCGTAGGGCGTGGTTTCGACGCTAGAAGCTGCCATGAGCGGAGTCTAGAATGCAGTCTATTTCCCTAATTCGTTGGCTAGGGTAGTCGTGTTTATTTGGTGTAAGTGAGTGGAGGAAGAGAAGAGAGTGAGAAAGAGGAGGAGAAAAAAAAAAAAGATTTAACGTTGCGGGACCACTTCCGTATAATTCTTATATTTGACCGACACCTTTTCACTTCTGTTGATAAGGCAAAACCCATCAAAATCTATTCAAGATGAAAGTCATGGCTGGTCCAACGCAGCAAGAACCAAATGTTGAACCGAATAGTTTTCAGGAAAACAGCAACTGGGCGTCATTCGGGCTCGATCCCATCACAGCGACAGTGTCAAACATCAACCCGGACGCTGAAGCACAACCTGACGCAGACTCGAGACAAGATGTCGAAAAGACGGTCAGTGCATGGATCTGCGTTCTTGGGTCCTTTCTGGCTCTGATACCCACATTCGGTAAGTCTACCATAGCGATAGTTGACCATCAACTGACTATAGACCAGGCTTCATGAACTCGCTAGGTACAGTCCAAACATATCTAAGCATGAACCAACTCCACGACTACAGTGAAGGCGAAGTTGGATGGATCAGCGGCCTATTTCTCTTCCTCTCACTCATTCTCAACGTCCAAGTCGGCCCAATGGTCGATGTCCACGGACCCAACATCATCGGTCCCGTTGGAGCAGTTCTCTACGTGGCCATGTTTCTGCTCATGGCCGAATGTCGCAACTACTGGCACTTCATGCTCTGCCTAGGAGTATTCGGGAGTATCGGTGCCGCCATGGCAATGGTTGTAGCCATCGCAATAGTAGGAAAACTGTTTGTCCGTAAGCGAGGTCTCGCGATGGGCATTACACTCGCAGGATCGTCCATCGGCGCTGTCATATTCCCAATCATTCTGCGGTCGACGTATCCCAATCTCGGCTGGCAATGGTCAATGCGAATCATGGCGTTTATATCAGCAGGTCTTCTCGTCCCTGCCATCCTCTGCTTCACCACCTTTAACAAGATCTACAAGTCGTCAACAAATGGCCAACCCAGTCCCAAGAGCTCGACACTCAACTTCACTGCCTTTCAGTCACCCGCATTCTGCTTTGTTACCGCAGGCATCTTTATGTTTGAGTTCGTCATCTTCAGTATCTCGGGTCTTCTACCGTCCATTTCCACTCGGGTCGGCTTCACTGCCGAGAATGGATATACTCTTCTTTCTATTGTCGGGGCGGCGAGCACATTCGGCCGAGTTATTCCCGGAATCATTGGCGATAAACTTGGGCATTTCAATGTCCTGCTTGCTACTTTGGTGTTCACCATCATCTTTATGGGGGCTCTGCTCGTTCCTTTTGGTACCAAGTCAGCTACTGTTCTGTACGCCTGGTCTGCTATCTGGGGATTTGGGTCTGGGTCTTTTCTTTCCATTACCCCAGGTAATTATCTATCTTGTGTTATAGCTGATAGCAGTACGCTAATCAATCACAGTCTGCATGGGTAAAACATGTGAAGCTAAGGACTATGGTCGATATTATGGCAAGTCTATCTCTTATCGTCTATCAACGTCAACGCTAGCTAACTATTTCTCCAGGCATGATGAACTTTGTCACTGCCTTCGCACTGCTCATAGCTCTCCCTACAAGTGGTGCCATGCTCGAGAACATGGGCCCTCAAGCCCTGGCTGGTCTCTTCACTGGCATGACTGCTGTTGGAGGAGCTTGCTATTTTGCAGCCCGAGCTCTTCTGATTGGGAAGTGGCTGTCTCCCAGGACTATCATTTAATTCTGAAATAGTTCCTGGATACGTCTCATTATTTACAAATCTGAATTTGACTAAATTGGGTGTCGTTGGTCTCTTTTATGGTTACCGGAGTTTGGGTTACGACATATGGAGGAGATTGGAAAATATACCTAGTATGGATGGCGCTGGTTAAAATAGAAGGAAAATGGGTATCAGGGGAGTTTCAACGTTTTACTGAGCTATAACTATCTCTAATAATAATATGATCTATGATCACTGAACAACGCCAAAGCCTCTCAGCGCATAAAGACGAGCAATACATCATGCCCTCACACTCCCTTGTCGTCTCTCCTCATGGCAAACCCTTTCTCAATCAACCTCACCATCAATGCATTCGTCAGTGGTATCTCCCTCTCCCCCATCTTCTGCCCCTTGACCTCCTCCTCCGTCGCCCAAACATAATCCTGATGCTCCTTCGGATCAAGCTTGACCTCAGCCGTATCCTCAACATCAACCTCAAAGCTAAACTTGCAAAAGAACCTCTTCCCCGTTCTGTTGGTAAAAACGGCCCCAGGTTTTCCATTTGGCCCATCAGGAATAACACGTCGAATGTGTCGCAGTTTCAGACCTGCCTCCTCCCAAAGCTCACGCGCACAGCCGTACAGAACAGTTTCGTCTTCGTCGTCACAGGCACCGCCTGGGATCTCCCATTTGTTAGGCATACTGTCGTCTGGCGCTCTTTGGAGAAGGAGAATGCGGTTGGAGGTGTCAAAGACGAGGGCGCCTGTTGCAAGCGAGTCCCAAGTTTTGTCGTGGGTTTTCAGCCACTCGCGGTGATTGACGTTCCATTCTGCGACGGAACCATCGAAAGTGAAGTTGAAGTCTAGAGGAGAAAGATTCGTCTCTTGTTTGTCCGTCATTTTGTGTTGCTATGTGTGAATATGAATATGAGTATGAATATAAAGATGGAATCGAAGTTGAAGAGACGAGAATAAGATGATGTTGCGACTGAGTGAGAAATGCCCCGGTATTGGATCTGCTTGTTGACGCTAATGCCTCACCTCGCCTACTGAGTCTCATCAACAAGCAATCGCCATAATGTCTCATGTCTGCCTAATATCCATACCTACTACCTTAGGCAGGCAACAATGAAAGTCAAGAGCCTCGTTTCAATTTTCCAGTTCGCGTGAGAATATCCTATACGAGTGATTAGATGGTAATTTGTCTTAAATGGCCAGGCTAGCCTGTCTCATCATATCACATTACATCACTTACAGAGTCTTCACTCAAGTCCAAACACAGTAAATCCAATCGTACACACTTTCTTATTTTACATAAATAGCTCAAGGCTATAGAGCCAACTGGCTAAGGTACATGAGTGGCAGCCGTCCATAAGTACATGTACGCGTCCTGCGATCAAAACCGTTGAGGCTTCCACTTTTTCCATCATGTACTTTTTATCGCTATTGCCTCCCTCCCCAGAGCTTCCAGAATATTCCGTGAACATCGCTGTCGAGTGGCATTCTCCTTGTTGAAGTTTGAATGCTGTTATGACACGTGTGTGTGTGTGCCGACAACGATCGTTGCGTATCCTTTCAAACACTAGTCGTTCTGGCGATTTCATATCCATCTTCCATCACGGCACTGCCATGTGCGATTCGTGCCTAAATCCTACCAAACCTTCACGATAATAAAGCAAGCAAAGCTTATAATACGCAAGCTTCCAATACCAATTGTGACGATATTGGAGCTGCTGACAAGGCAGCCACTAAACGCCCCTGACGCTAACTAAAACTAACAAATCATACGAACAACAAAGCCCGGAAACAAAGTTTTGCAAGGATAAACAAAGCATAGACTTTTGTGTATGATGCTCACATGAAAGATCTCATGGGGCCTAAAGCCATTGCTCGAGTTTGCTGTAAATCATAAACAAGTATCGCTTCATGTCCTTCCATGCATCCCAACGTGATTCGCGAATGCTGATACTCGGTTCCAACGAAACAAAATTGTCAAGATGCTCTTTTCCTACATCTTTTCTTACACGTGTGCGTTTTGCTGGGGCATGATGGACCTCTCAGCCCGTGTTCGCATGAAGTTTGCATGAGATTCCAGGCATCGAGCTTTGAGTCGTGTGACTGGCCACACTGCAGCCTTATCAAGCATCAACGCAGTGATTCGGAGTAGCTTGGCAGCGTAGCCGTTGTGTCCGCCCAAGTCCAGATTGGCTTCCTGGCCGTTCATGCCATTGACAAGCTCCATGTTCATTTTCATCTCTGCTGATGATAGCACTTCTTGGACTTTGCCCAGAAGCTTCACATCTTCTTCCTCCAGAAGCATGATGGCGGGGACTTCGGATAGATTGACTTGATCCTGTCCAAGGATCCCCAAGTAGCAGCCAACACGATCCTGCAACGTCGCAATCCACTCTGCAAGGACCTGGGCACAGTCGAATGCACACATGGCAGACTGAAGAGGAAGTTCCCTGCTTGTGAAGTCGGCAAAGGTCACACCGAGCTTATCCGACATGGCCAGGGAGTCGGCGGCGTAGAAAGCCGCCTTCCGAAGATGCTTTTCCCTGCGAGATGTAGTGTGACTCGACATACTAGAGGATGCTGGCCGTAGAGGAAGCTTAATATTGGACAAATCCATCGATGACGTCTGTGTCGCAGGCGTTTCCACGAAGCCTGAGCCACTGATTGAGTTATCCGAAGGTTCGGCACTTCCAGACTCAGAATTGGAGATCGGTGATTGCTCAGCATGCTGAACGATCTCATTTCCGCGAGAAAGCTCCTCAGCCATCCCGTCCCAGTCTCTTTGCCAAAACCTCTCTTTTGAGCGTGAAAGGTTGACGAAAAGCCGAATATACGCCAAATCGAGCAGAGGGATCGCGTCAGCTGACAGAGGGCCTTGACCAAAAGGGTTGGGACGTTCTACACTATGATGAGGGTTGCTTGCCCAGGCTGCTTGCCACGCCTTAAGGGCAGGCTCGATGTGCCGATGCATTTTCTCTGTCTCTTCATTTGTCCAGATTTTGTTGTGGTGTCTTTGTCGTGTTTCCCAAATATAGTTGTGCAGTGCGTTGATAAGTATCAGAGATCCGAATGTGCTGGGTCGAAGAGGCACACTCATCGGGTCGCTTCCATCGTTGTCAAACTGTCCACCAAAAGAGAATTGATGCTGTTTCTCATTGACATGAAGGAGGTCCCCCAACGCATCGTGAAATGTCATGCGGTTGTGGTCTGCAGCCTCGGCTCCACCGCGTGAGTGAAAGACTGCGCTCGTCTCAGCTGAGAAGAACTCTTCATCGCAAGGGAGGTCCAGGTAGATTTCCGAATTTGTCAACGCTGGTGTGTGGTTGTAGGCCGAAACCAAGAGGCTGGAAAGTATAAACACGGCGTATAGAGTTCGCTTCCGCTCTTCTCCAGACTTCCACCGCAGCCACTCTGCTTGATCGGGCTCCAAATTCGTGTTCCAGTTTCGGTCATCACTCATCTGAACATCCTGGCCGTCAGAGGCGTTGGGGCGATTGGGCCGCAAGAGGTCAGCTGCTTGTGCGAGGCTGACCAAGGCGGCGCAATGCGTCGAAGCAATGTCACTGACAGTCTTGTCGCCACAGTTATGGCCATATACAACATTTAGGAGCATGGCTTGCACAAGCCACACGGGAGTGTGAGCGCCGCTGTCATTGCTATGGTCAGTTGGGGTACTTCGGCGAAGATCTGCTTTTCGGACATCGGCTTTTCGACGTTCTTCAAGGTAAAAAAAGATCATTTTCTTGGCCATTTCGAACAGCTCTCGGGATTGGGCAGTATCCATCTCGTAGAGCGCGCCGATAGCAGCCATGGACAATATCAGACAACCACTACCACCTACACCTGGACGACTATTGGCAGAGATGGGCATATCGAAGGACAAAGTAGGAAGATGAAGAAAAGGCAAATGGGGGTGGAAGTATGCTAGATAGGCACCGACATATCGCTGAAGGTCCTGAGTACTGGGCAGATTAGCTGCTTGGGACGAGGCGGCATTGCCGGCAGACTGGGAAAGTGGCGACTGGGGCGATCCTTGAGAAGTAAAAGAATGTTTACGACCCCCAAAGGGTAGGCACTGGGACAGGATGTTCACGATGGCATGCCGGGTAGCATCTGTAATGGTGGTCACTGGCGAAGCGCCGTGGTTGCCCCCATTTAGAGAAGATGGCGTCTCCGGGCCGGCGTTGAAGCCAAGAGTCTGATTAATGTTTTGGGTGCCGAGTCCCGTCACAACAGAGGGACTCAATGAGCTCAGCGAGGGTGGAGGCGTAGAGAAGTAAGGGTCATTCATCTTTTGAGTAGCTGGCTGAGGTGATAACGGTGCTCCGCTAAGGAGATCCGGGAAGACTGTGCCATTCATTTCCATCGCAAAAGGGTTCGGAGGCATCTGTGGAGGAGCCATCACAGATGTCGACCACATGGTACTGGTCCCAGCCGGCGCAGGATGATTCGACCCATCCAACATAACATCGCTAATCCCACTCTGACTCGTCGTGCTGATTGCGGACGGACTCGATCCATCATCAATCACATTTTCGTTCCCAAATGACATCTGTTGCTCAAAACCAGTCAACCAGTCAACGGGGTCGTCGAACTGGGGGTTCGCAGACATGTCGTTCATCGAGTGCCCAAAGGGCGAGTTTTCCATGTTCATCACCTGCGGTGAGTCGCTATAATGGAGATTGTTTGGGTTTACTGTCGTGGCTGTCCCACCAAAGAGCATGGTGTCGAAATCGAACTCGTTGAAGGACATCGGGGCCGTCCTGAGAGGGTTAACATAGTCGAGGTTACTAAAGGCTCCTGTCTCCAGCTTAGGGATGCCAGGATGCATAGCTCGTTGACCCATAGCAGCGGACATGCCACCATAGAGAGGATCCATGGCGTGGACTGGAAAGCCAGCGAGGCTGGGGTGTCTACTATGACCATGAACAACGGCCGCACGAGCCACGGAAGAATTGGTAGAGGCATTGGCCATATTGAGAGAAATTGCGTCGATATGCCCAAGGGTGTTGGCTCGGGGCCGCATGGTGTTTGAGGCATTTGAAGCCGGAGCGGCAGCGGCAGCTGCGTTGGCTCCGGCGACGCTGTTCTTTCGGGCACGACTCTGACCAGGAGCGACACCGGTTGTAGACTCACGACGATTACGAGGACGGGACGACGGGGTCGAAGTCTGGTGCAGCTTTTGCTGGTGACGCAGCAGAAGGTCACGGCGGGCAAAGCATCTTGCGCATTCGGGACACTGAAAGGGTTTCTCCTTAGTGTGGGAGCGTTCGTGTCGCTTGAGATGTTCCAATCGGGCGAACGAACGCTGGCAAGTGGTGCAGACGTGAGGACGTGGCTTGTCCGTCTTTGCGGGAGGGAAATTATTAGCAGGCGCTTTTGTGTTGACTGTGATAGTAGATGCTACGAGTGTTAGCATGTATAAATCGAAGTCTTGTATCCAAGGTCCTGTTGCGGCAACGGTGCGGGTCGAGTCGAGCTCAGAAACACGAGGGGCAATGCCGGCGAAGGCGGGATAGCTCACCAGTATCGTCAGTGGTGGAGGGCGCGGCGGTGCCTGTGGCAGCGGTGGTTGTCGGTGCGGGAGCGGTCATGGCGAGATTGGGACGCGAGACTCTAATGCCAGAGTCGTTTATCACCATGGCAGGTCGGATCGGTCAGATTCGCATTCGCGAGGGTCGAAAGACGAAGGTTTTGGACCTGTCGTACTCGCAGAAGCAGAAAGTGTTTCGTCGCGGGGCACAAGGTTGGGCGAGAATTGAGTGCGATAGGATGGATGGCGGGGAGGTTTCGGTGGGCGGCGGGCGCGGTTCGTCACTCCTTGGTGGGGGG